GTCTATAAAAAAGGCTAAAAAGAAAAGTAAAAGCTGGTTAGAGATGGAGAATGTTTCCTATTGAAGTTAAGCCTCGAAGAAAGGAAAAAAAAAGTTTTAACTAAAAAAAAAAAAAAAGTGAATCTATGTGGTCATTCTTTTGACAGAATGTTCAAACTTTTGAATTGAGGAAGATACGTAAGAAAAGTCTTCATTTGATTATAGTGAAGTGACCCTCTTCACAAGCAAAACTATTTTTCATATACATATATTAATTCCAGGTGGTATAAATGTTATCAATCTAGATATGCATATATATAATAATGAAATTGTTGCTCAATATCATTATAATATTTGTAAACATAATTGAAGTTTGGACAATGAAACACCTAGGTGTCTATGAGTGTGTCTGTGTCTTTTGTGATGTATATTGAATTTTTATGCAATATGGTTCCCTTTTTTCCCTATGACAAATGTTTACTAGTCATACCATGATGTTTAATCAAAATTCCTTACCAAACCTCATTTATTCACCTGTCCATGTATATCCCCTGTATCAACATTTTTTCAGTTTCCTATATTCTGTTTTAAACCAACCTTCTTATGTAGTAGTATTATATAGCTTTTCTCAGATTTGACTTTAAGGTCCATCAATGAGTTATGAGCCTATGGGTCTAAACGAAGTTTAAGTTTTAACTAACTTCCACTCCACAATTGTATTCCAATCCATTAGCCACTAGGAAAATGAATATATATGAAATATATTGCAATGGAAATATCCAAAGCAGGGCTAGTTTTCGGATTAGTAAATAATCATTTCATTTATTTCGGATTCCTTGTATTTGGGTATTGAAATATTTTGTTAGTACATAAAATAAATTTGAGTGATTCAAATTTGTTTTAAAAAAAAAATGATTACTAGTACCACCGTCAAAGATATTACTATCATTTGCGTCAAGTTTACACTGTCGACCATAATTACCCAGAAAAATCTATTATCATTCACACTGTCAACATTAAACTAATTAAACATGGATTAATAGCCAACAAGTATAACATTTTCAACGCAAAAGTATAACAATTGTGATCAGCTTTGTATAGGAAAAAGAGAAAGAAAACGAATCTGAAGGAAAAGATGGAAACAAGAGGAGAGAATAGAGACAAAACACCAATTAATGTCATTTGTCAATAAGAAGAAGATGACCCCATGTGAACATTGGAGACTCATGTGACTCGATTCTATCATTTTAGGCAAAAATTCAGCTACAGGTTCTATCTCAATAATTTTCCCGTTTAACAAACAAACAATGAAGAAGATTTATCTCAGTAAATAGACCCACAAGTTATTCAATTCGATGTGAAAAAAGTTGTTTTAAATTTCTAGATTCGAGTTTGAGATTTTCTTTAGATCGAAATCTTTCTAATTTTCAGTATGATCGAAATGTACAACCCGAAATATCAGAATTTCAAGTTATAAAAATGACAGTTTAGGCAAATGACTTGATTTTTTAGAAGAAGCTAAGTTAGTTATATGGAGCAGCTTTTGTTATCAAATGACTTTACTAGAAGTTTTGATTTTTGATGAAAGATCCGGTGATTCGATTTTTTAAAATTATTTTTAGAATATCATGTGAAATATTCTACATTGATCGTGCTGAGTGGCTACATTAAATCGTTTAGTCCTTCTGCAAGTATATAAGTACCCAATAAAACTTCAAATATTTCAATAATGCATCACGTTTCAATTAAATATTACCCCCAACTATGTAAAACTTTATCATAAATGTCAAAATTGTACTATGTCCTTTCGTTATAAAAGACTTGGACAATATTATACAATAGATATACGAGTTAACGTTACTTTTGTCCTACCCAATTATATGGTACAAAAAACTACAAATTAAGTTTCACTGATAGTGTTTTC